TTAAGCTATTTACATTTTAAGTGATTATTGATAGGTTTATGTTTATTGCCATCTTATTTTTTTAAAATCTATGTTTCTTTGGTGTTTCTTTTATTTCTTTTTCTATTTTTTCTTCAGCTTCTTAAAGGAATCCCTTTAATATTTCTTATAATGCTGGTTTGATGGTAATAAACTCTGTTAGCTTTTCCTTGTCTACAAAGCTCTTTATTTCTCCTTTAATTTTAAATGCTAGTCTTACTGGGTAAAGTAGCCTTGGTTGTAGGTCCTTGTTTTTCATCACTTTGAATATTTGGTGCCAATCTTTTCTGTCCTGAAATGTTTCTGTTAAGAATTAAGCTTATAGCCGAAACTGGTTTGGCTCAGTGGATAGAGCGTAGGCTTGGGGGCTGAAGAGTCCTGGGTTCGATTCCGATCAAGGGCATGTACCTTGGTTTCAGGCATATCCCCAGTAGGGGGTGTGCAAGAGGCAGCTGATCGATGACTCTCTCTCATTGATGTTTCTAACTCTCTATCTCTCTCCCTTCCTCTCCGTAAAAAATCAATAAAATATATTAAAAAAAGAAAGAAATAAGCTTATAGTCTTATGGTATGGGAGCTTTTCTGTAGGTAACTGTTTTTCTCTTGTAGCTTTTGACAGTGATTTTTTTGTGTTTAACTTTCGGCATTTTAATTATGGTGTGTCTTGGTGTGGGCCTCTTTGGGTCCATCTTGTTTGGGACTCTGTGCTTCTAGGCTTGTATGTCTTTTTCTTCACCAGATTAGGGTAGTTTTCAGACATTATTTCTTCAAATAGGTTCTTGATCTCTTGCTTTCTCTCTTCTTCTTCTGTTATCCCTTCACATGGATACCCCTTCATGTTGTCCCAGAGATCCCTTAAACCAGTGTTTCCCAAAGTGTGGTACGTGTACCCCCAAGGGTACGGGAAGAGTTTGGTGGGGGTACACATTGCACCAGAGTTTGGTGGGGATATGCACTGCACCGTGCTTAGCTGGGCCTAATTCTACATTCTCATGAGTACAGGGGGTACTCAGCGTTACGAAAATTATAGAAGGGGTACACATATGTCAAAAGTTTGGGAAACACTGCTTAAACTGTCCTCATTTTAAAAGTCTTTTTTCTTTGTGCTGCTCTGATTGGGTGTTTTTTCCTACTTAGTCTTCTAAATTACTGATTCCATCATCTGCTTTATCATCCTCTGCTTTATTTATTCGTGTATTCTTTATTTCAGATATGGCATTTATTAATTCTTTTAAAAAATATAGAGAGAGGAATGGAGAAAGATAGAGATATAGAAACAACAATGATAAGAGAGAGTCATTGATTGGCTGCCTCTTGCACACCCCTTATGAGGTACTGAGTCTGCAATCTAGGTATTGGCCTTACTCAGGAATCTAAGTGGTGACCTCTTGGTTCATGGGTCGACCTGAGCCACTGAATCACATTAGCTGGGCACATTATTTCTGATTGGACATTTTTAATGGTTTCTATATCCTTCTACATGCTGTTGAGCATCCTTATAATCATTACTCTGAAGTCTATATCTGATATATTGCTTACCTCTACTTTATTTAGCTCTTCTTTTGGATAATTCTCTTATTCCTTCATTTGCAGCTTATTCTTTGTCTCCCCATTTTGTCTGTTTGTTTGTGTTTGTTTCTGTGTATTAGGTAGATCTGCTACACTTCCCAGTCTTGGTAGGGTGGCCTTATGTAGTAGGTGATCTGTGGGACCCGGTGGTGCAGTCTACCTGAACATCAGGATTTGGTAGTCTAAGAATGTCCTTTGTATGCCTTATCTGGGCCCTTCTGTTGTAATTGAGTCTTGATTGCTATTGGCCCATTTATGCATGGGCTCATCTCTTAGGCTGGCTAACAGTGAAGCTCAACCTCAACACAGTGTGTAGGCTTCTGTGCAGGGGCTGATCACACGAAATGAAATTTGCCTCAGCAGGTTTTGGTGCCTGCCAATATCTCCCTGTGGATATTCTACTTGTGAAACTTATTGGATCCTGCTCTGTTGTTGTCTGAAGCTGGCCAATTGGTGTATTGGTTCTGGGCCTCTTTAGAGGGACTCTGGTGCAGGACAACGTCAGAAACTCTGTGATTGGCCCTGAACAACTTGTTTGGCGATATCAGTGATCCACAGCTTGTAGCTCTCTCTGCTGGGCCTTTGTATATGTGGAAAGGACAAAACTATGTACCAAGGTGTGCTTTTACTAGCCCCGGGCCCAGGAACAGGTCAGGCAAAGAATCAAAGCACTGAGGGTTCTGCCTCTTCCTTCAGGATGTCTTTTAGTCTCTGTCACTTAATGAGCCTCCAGCTATAGTCTTCAGTAAGGAGTAAGCTCCACAGGGTGGGGCGAGAGGAATTCAGTAGGTGGGGCAATTGCTTCTCCCAGGCTAATGCTGCATGGATGGGAAAGGCCTGAAAAGATGGCTTTTACAATATGAAGCAGTGGCTCAGCACAGGGATCTTTGTGGCTGTCCCCTCACCTCTCTCCCTAATGCCACCAAACCAAGACTCTCCTCACACAGCTCTAGTCCACTCTGCCCTTTTTCTGCTGGAGCCCCATGTGAGTGGCTGCAAATGAAATTTTGAGTGATGGCCCTTTAAGTGGGTGCCTGCATTTCCAGCTATCTCTCCCTGGCAGACTGAAATCCTATTGCTTTTCACAGCCAGATGTTATGTGGGCACCTTTACCAGTTTGCCTAGTTTGGGTGAACCCCCCACAGATGAGCTATTTTTCTAGAACTTCAGCTGCTGCCTGTGAGCCCCTGGCCAGCCTTTTTGTGCCTCCGTGCTTCCTGCCAGTTTTTATGTGGCTTCCTCTTATTTTCCTTAAAAAAAAAAATTAAAAGAAAATTGATTTCAGAGAGGAGGTTGGGGGAGGGAGAGAGAGAAAGAGAGAGAATGAGAATGAGAGAGAACCATTGATCAGCTGCCTCCTGCACACCTCACACTAGGAATTGAGCCCACAACCTTATGCCCCAATCGGAAATCAAACCATGACCTCCTGGTTTATAGGTCAATGCTCAACCACAGCCATGCTGGCTGGGCTGTGGCTTCCTTTTATAAGGTTTCTCTCCAGCTAGTCTTCAGTTGGTTATTCAGGATGATTTTTTTGTGTGTGTTTTAGTTGCAAATCCAGTTTGGCTTCCACCTAATCTGCCACCCTCTTGGATTCTGGATCTGTTCATTTCTGATAGAAAAGTGTTAAAGTCTTCAATATAATAGTCAATTAATCTATTTTTCCTTGTACTTCTTCCAGTTTTGGCCTCACATATTTCAGTGCTCTGTTATTAGGTACATGCACATTAAGGATTGTTGTGTCTTCTTGAATAATGACCCCTTTATTATTATGTAATGCCCTTCTTTGTTTCTGATAACTTTTCTTGTTTTTAAGTTTGTTCTGTCTGTAATTAATGTTGATCACATTGTTTCTTTTGATTAGTGTTAGCACAGTATATCTTGTTTCTTTTGATTAGTGTTAGCACAGTATATCTTTCTTCATTCATAAACTTTCATTCTGTATGTGTTTTTATATTTAAAGTGGGTTTCTTGTAGACAACTTATACTTGGGACTTACTTTTGATCCACTCTGACAATCTCTGTCTTCAACTTTTCCCTTACCATTAGAATTTTTCTTTTTCTCTGTCATATGTATTTGTTGTTATGTATAGTTTACGGAGTACTTATTAAGTGGCAGGCACTAGGGATAGAGAAGAAGTTAGGCCAAATTCCTGCCCCATTCAGTTTGCATACTAGGGTGGTTACAGGAAATGAACACATAAAGAAAGACATAATTTCAGATAATGCTAAGAAAGGAGTAATGTGTGGTTCTAACATATCTTCTTGGGCAAGATTATAACTAACTTGAAGACTGCATTCTAAAAGTTGTAAATATTTAAAAGTTATGAATCAAAGTAAATCTGTGATGCAGTTTTAGTTTCCACTTTTCATCCTGAGTTCCCTGAAGCCTGCATTCTCAAGACCCAGGGGCTATAAGAGCTGCTCTCTTCTCTGGCCAGCCTTTCCACTTGCTAGTCTGATTAAGTAGCATAGGTTTGTTGGGGCAGGGCAGGAATAATTGGGTGGTATTTAGATCCATTTTCAACTTCTGTAGTTGGATTTCATTTCCTTTAACTACAAAGATTAAGGGAAATGTATCACTCTCAGTCATCCCAGTCCTGTCCAATCCCCAGAAATCTGGTACAGAGAGGTTGACCTCTTCAGTTCCTTGCTCTTCCAACTCAGGATTCTAAGTTCTTTCCCATATTGCACTACCCAGAAGAGAGGAGAGAGGGGATGCAGGTATCTGGGAAACAGGTGTAGGCAATCACTTCGGTGGATTTGGGCAGTCACCTTTAACTGGTTAAAGTTTTTATAAGTAGTCACTCTTTCTAGTAGTTCTTGGGCATGAGTTGTGGTAATTTTCTCCTTTTTCCGCATTAACATACGGGGGCACTCTCAGTTTTTCATCCTTTGGCTTGCACTTCTTCAGCTAGCACTTCTCTTTTATAATTCCCATTTGTGTAATTACTTACTGAACTTCCAAGCTTTCTTACAAGGCTGAAAGGGGAAAAACTCTTGGTCTTAGTGATTGTAACAGAGGCTTTTCTTGTTCAGGTTTAAGGGTGATACTGGACTGAGAATGGAAGTGACCATAGACTACTCTTTTACATGCCTCTTTGACACTCCTTAACCTGCTGCCTCTGAATCCTCCTAGTCCCCAACTCTATTTGTTTTAATTTGTAAATTTGTTTAATTTGGTAAACCAAATTGTTCCTTGGAATACCTACATCGAAAAGTAACTTCAAAATGAAAATGAACATTTTCCCAAGACTTTTTGTAAGATTTTAAGTAGCAATGACTAATCTTCCAAGCCTCAAAAAGCCTACCCAAACACCCTCACTACACCAAAACTTAAAAAGGAAAACTATCTGCAATCTTGTATATTTGAATACCAGCTTAAAAGTTATATTCTATTTTTCTCTGAACAGGTGTGAAAGTTGTGTGGATTTACTATTTGTGAGAGGAGCTGGAAACTGTCCTGAATGTGGCATTCCTCTTAGAAAGAGCAATTTTAGGGTACAACTCTTTGAAGATCCTACTGTTGACAAGGAGGTTGAGATTCGAAAAAAAGTTCTAAAAATGTAAGTATTAGTGCTTGAATGATCCGTTCCACAAAGAGGATTTTAAAAATAATTATTTCAGTAATTGAGATAATTATCCAGATAGAAATGTGGACAGTTTGGCAAGTATAAATTCATCTATGTATTTGTTCAATAATAAGTTTTTAGAGAACTCAGAAATATTAATTATCTAGCCTTTAATAGAGAAGAGTAGATTCTCTTGATTGATGACTTCACAATTCATTTATTTGCCATTTTTACTTTAATTTAGTTAACAAAATATATATTGAGTACCTTCTATGTGCAAACACTGCATTCTACATATTAGGCTCTAGGTATAGAATGAGTAAGATAGCTCCTCTCAAAAGCATGGTAACATAGGATAATATAGAAGTAGACAGTTTAAAATAGATAAACCAAAAAATTGAATTATAAATTGAGGAAAATGCTTTGAAGTCAATGGCTGAGTGTTGATGTGGGTCAGTGATATCATATAAGGCCTGAGGGGGTAACGTTTAAGTTGAGATCTGAAGGGCATTAGAAAAAATCATATGCTAGCTATGATTTATTTTGATATATAGGATGTCCCAAAAATATATACACACTTTGCGTTATTATAAGTCACTGTTTATTAACATAGATTTTCAAAATTTAAAACAATCTATATAAATGAATAACTTTTTTTGTCAATGCCTGTTTTCAAATTGATGACCGTTCTGGTTCAGGCACTGCTGATAATATGAAGCAATGAAATCATTTCGTTTGGTATTAGTGCACTCTCACTTCATCAACTTTTGCCAGTTTTGACCTGTAAACATTATCTTTTATGCATTTCTTTGAAAAAGTCTAATGGATAAATTTTCTTGTTCAAAGCTTAGTCATTCACCCATTATTTCAAATCATTCACCCATTATTTCAAATCAGTTAAATCGGAAAACGAGTGAAAATTAAATGAGTTATCCACTATTAAAGTTTGTATATATTTTTTGCGGGGATACACACTGAATAATTATAAAGGTAGTATTTGTACTTAAACTGTGTTTTCAAAGTTCCAGGAGCATTTTAGGATGAATTTTTTTTGTTCAAAGCTTTGGCTGGGGAAAAAAAACAAACATCCATTGAGCTATCAGCTGTTAAAGTGTGTGTACATGCTTTTGGGACACCCTGTATATTTTTGTATATGTGTATATACCTATATATTCTTTTTCTTTCTTTTAAAAAAATATATTTTATTGATTTTGTACAGAGAGGAAGGGAGAGAGATAGAGAGCTAGAAACATCGATGAGAAAGTCATTGACCAGCTGCCTCTTGCACACCCCCTACTGGGGATATGCCCGCAACCAAGGTACATGCCCTTGACTGGAATTGAACCCAGAACCTTTCAGTCCCCAAGCCGACGCTCTATCCATTGAGCCAAACCAGTCTCGGCTCTTTTTCATTTATAGTTTATTTTTTACTCTTTATTAATAGCTTTGGGTTTCATTTTATCTGTTTTATTACAAGCCACCTTATTGTTTTGGAAGTTTAAAGAATTAATATATATTTAATCTATTATTGTTTTATTTTATTTATTTTGGTTTCAACCTTGGTCACCAGTGTTTTAGCAGCATCTTTCTAGGAACCTAACCAGTTTATCAATGCCCCAAGCTGCTCTTTTATTATTTGGATTACTTCTAGGAAATACTCTCTCTTAGATTCTTGTTTTTTTCTTTTTCTTATCATGAATGCCTATGGTTTTCCAATTCTTCAGAGGAATCAATCTATAATAATAAAAGGGTAATATGCTAATTAGACCAGACGTCTTCTGAACGTCATTCCAGATGTCTTTCCTGACAAAGCCAGGGCCAGAGGGAAGCCAGCCCAGGTCCCTGGTGCCTGCGGGTGGTCCGGGGGAAGTCAACCCAGGACGTAGGTGCCTGCGGGCAGCCTGGGGGAAGCCAGCCCAGGACCCAGGTGCCTGTTTGTAGGCGGAGGAGGGAAGCCCAGATCCCAAGTGCCAGAGGGAAACCAGTGCCAGAAGCCAGGGGAAGGAAGGCCTACTCTTGCACAAATTTTCATGCATTGGGCCTCTAGTATTAAATATTTACAAAATTCTTCAGGCTATAACTGACATGAAAAATTGGACTGTATTTTTTGAATTAACTTTTAGCTTTCTGGAAATTAATGAATCTATAAGAAGTAAGCAATATGATTTCCAATGATAGGCATGTTTAAGCTCATTTTCCATTCTTTCATGATTCAAGTTTTTTTTTCTTTCTCGTGTAAGAAAGAGTTTGTGTTATAACACTTTCTCCTGATTCTACTTCTCTGTAGTCATACAAATATAGTAGTAAGAACAACATTCTTGGTCTAGTCACAAACTTGGTTATAAGAAAATAGTCTTTTATATAGTAAACAATCCTTTTCTATGTACCATGTATAAATTAAGTAAGAATAAACAAACTAGTTAGATAATATTGAAAGCAAGTGATATGTGATATGTTAATTTTTCCTTTCTCTTATAGATACAATAAAAGAGAAGAAGACTTTCCTAGTCTAAGAGAATATAATGATTTCCTGGAAGAAATAGAAGAAATTGGTTAGTTTTTTATTGCTTATATTTTTTGGTGTTCTAATGTGTGCATTTATCTTTCTGATGCCAAGGAGAACATTTAAAAACTCTTAACAAGTTTTATTGTGATACCTGATATTTAACTAATTATTCCCTGTTGCACTTAATCATGTTTGTTATGTGAAGGCATAGTTAAGTAAAGGATATACTTAAGTAATAAATATTTTATCTTAGGGAAAATATGACAAATACCACTTTTTACCTGGGAAGGAAGGCTGTATCTGTACATGCCATCTATATGTTGGTGATGTATTAGAGTAAACAAAAGGAAAGAATATTCAGATGAAAAAAAACATCCAGGATTTTTAATAACTATGTCCATGGTGACTAAAGCCATATGTTGTTTATCATTTATGCTTCTGTGATACAGTAGTTTCAAAACACTTTGAAGTATTATAGTTGACTAAGTGGAATTCTTTTATTTAGTATTATTCTAGAATCAGAGGTTAAAGTAATCTTAGTGCCTTTTATTTCTGTTATGATTAGTTAAAAGGATGTTTTAATTAAAAGAAAATATTATTTCTGTTTTCTTAAATAAGATTTCAGAGGTGTTAAAAAGTCTGTACGTAGTTGTATATCAGTTAAAAACTAATGTTTTGGAGGAACCAAGATGGTGGCCTAAGTAAACGCCTGTACTTGCTGCCTCCCACAACCATATAAAAATTACAACTAAAATACAGAACTATAATCATCCAGAACTGCGGGAAAGCTGGCTGAGTGGAAGTACTGCAACTAGAGAAGTAAAGAAGAAAGCACACTGAATTGGTAGGAGGTGCAGGTGCACGGAATAGGCTGGGGTGGTTCAGCACCCAGGTGTACCGCTTTTTAAATCAGGAGGGAGATTGCCTCTTTGGAGGCCGCCTGGAAGAACAAGGAGTCCCAGCCCTACACCAGATCCCCAACTCAGGGTTCAGAGCTGGGGAAAGAACTCTCTACGGGCAGTAAGAACTACAGACTGTCACAACCAGTGTGGATTGGGACTGAGTGACACACAGGCTGCTAGAGACCCAGCTCCTCCTCCTAAAAGGCCAGTACCATGAACTGAATTTACCAGCTCCCACTTGCTCTGAGCTCCGGGTCTTCCTTCCCCTGGCTGCCAGCACCGCCTTCAGTCTGGACTGGAGCCGCCTTTCCACCTTCCCATGCTGCCCAGAGGCCCGGAGTGGCTGGGGCGGTGTGGAATGCCTGTGTCATTGCCATGGCGATGGCACAAGTGTCCTGCCCCACCCCTAGTTGCTCCCTGTGTGTGTATGCAAATTAACCTGGCATCTTTGTTGGGTTAATTTGCATATTCCTGATTGGCTGGTGGGTGTCAGGAAGATATGGTCAATTTGCAACTTATTCTGATTAGTGTAGATTTTCTGAACTTCAGTTCAATTTTGCAAATATTAACTGTTCTATGTGAATTGCTTCACTTGCTGGAGTTATGATTTTTTGCCTTCAGTAAATTCAGACTCTAAAGGGGGAGATAATTATGTAAACTAATTACTATAATGTGAAAGTAAGAATTTATAAAGTGTTACGGAATACAGATAAAACAGTTTCACATTTAGGAAATACAGTTATAGTTTGATCTTAAAAGATGAATAGGAGTTTAACAAGTAGAAAGAGGATGGAAGAACCTTTATAGAAAAAACAAAGTCACGGGAGATACAGGGTTTTGAGCACATTGGAGAATAAGCATGTAATCTGGTATAGGTAGCTAGAACTGGTGAATGACTAGAAATGAGGCTTGAAAAACAGACTAGGCTGTCAGCTAAGCTGTCAGGGTAAGAATTTATTCTATGACCAATAGTGAGTCAATGGGACAGTGTTGTAGTATGGAATAATGACAGGAGATACTCAAGGCTTGGTAATAATTTTTAAAAGACCATTCCAATAATTTGGATGAGAAATCATCAGAGCTTGGAGTAGGTAGCAGGGGTGATAGATAAAGGGGGTGTTTTAGAGATAGAATATTCCAGGGACTAATTTGATGTAAGAATGAGCAGGAAGGATAAGTTAGAATAATCTGACCTTGAGAAGTTGTATGGTATTCATCAGGAAAATAAAAGCTGGAGAATAGGCAGTATTTCTTTTTGTTTTATTTTGTTGGGTGGAAAGTATAGAAATGAAGGAAATACTAGTTTAGCCTTTTTAAGGTGTGGCTCCACCATTAGTTGTGTGTCATTCTGATTGTTGTATACATAAACTTCCTTTAAAAATCTTGTTTCAATGGCTGTTTACATTGTGTTTTATTTTGCTTTCAAAGATGATTAGGTAGGCCTGGCTGGTATGGCTCTGTGGTTGGGCATCTACCCTCTCCCTCCACCTCCCACTCCCAAATAAAAGTTCACAGGGTTTGATTCCTCCTCAGGGCACTTGCTGGGCTACGGGCTCTATCTTCATTAGGGGGTATGGAGGAGGCAGCTGGTCGATGATGTTTCTCTCTCATTGATGTTTCTATCTCTTTATCTCTTTCCCTTCCTCTCTCTAAAATTCACTAAAAATATATTTAAAAAAAAAGATGATTAGTTAGATGTTTGCTATATCTGTATTGGCTATCTCTGTGTTAATCAAAAGTATAAAATGTTAATTTTTAAATTGAATTTATTGGGGTGGGTGACATTGATTAATAAAGTTATGTAGGTTTTAAGTGTACTATTCTATAATACATCATCTAAACATTGTATTGTTTGTTCACCACCCAAGTCAGGTCTCCCTTCATCACCATTTATCCCTCCTTTACCCTTTTCTACCTCCCTTTCCCCTCTGGTAATCACCATACTTAAAATGTTTATGGGAACTTCTAAGTGCCTGATTGAGCTGTTTTTATACTATTCATATAATAATTTTTATAACTCTAAGAGAAATAGACTTTTTATCTCTATTTTATATATGGAGACAAGGTGGAGAGGGTTTAAGTATTGTGCCCAAGATTACATTGCTAGTAAATAATGGTACCAAAGTTTAAACATAAGTTTTCCTGACTCTCAGAGACCATGAAAGTGCTTGGTAATATTTGAGAGTAGTTAATAGGGTTGAATCTAAAACATTGGTTGTCGATTGGTGGAATAGTGGGAAATAAGAGGAAAAAAAATATAGATTGTAGCCATATTTTGAGGCTCTTATGTTTATACTTGATCTTATAAGTAGAAGGGTTTCCTTGAAGATGCAAAGGCCTAGAGTGAGTAATAGAGTTGTTAGTGTGGCTAAGGAATCAGTGTTTGAGAATTTATAAATGGGGGATTGGTCATTTTATGTAAATTTCATTGTGAAGAAAAAATTTTAAATACTAGAATTTGAATAATTGCGTAAAATTAAAGGGCACACATGAAGATGAACTTTCTTATAGCATTAACAATAGTTTCTTTTCTGTGGTTATGACAATCTAAGCATAAAAATTCTTGTTCTTTTTGGCCCCAGGGATTATCTCAAAGGTTTGTTCTTAGTTTCATAATAAACAGATTATTCTTTTGGTTCGGGGTATTGCTTATTTTGAAAGGGTGAGAAAGTCCTAAGGGCTTTAATTATAAATTTTGGTTGTCAAAAAGACTTGAAAATTGTACTTAAATAACATTAAATCTTTCAGAAAATACAATAGGATTTTGTTGGCTTTTAATACTTGACTAATAGCAGGTCAACATCTGAGCTACACCAGTATTCAGATAAAGGGACAAATGATTGTATAGAAATTTATCTCCTATTTCTTTTTCTTTAAGGCTATTATACCAACCTGATTCATTGGAGCATGAATGAGACTTGCTTCATTTGAAAAGTTTTTAAAATCCACTTTTGTGAGGTTTTTGTTCTTGTTTTTAAAGGAAGAGATTTGTATTATTTATGATTATGATTCACATCTGTTATATTGCTATTAACTTTGCTTTCTAAATTAAAAATGAAATAAATTGGTTATTTTAGTTTATTAGAATTCATCAAAGTTTTTAATAAGCATAAATGAAAGAAATGATATATAAACAGATAACTTAACTTAGAATTTCACTTTACCTATTTCTGGGTTCTACTAAATGAAAAGTTTAAACCATTAGTACACTGTCTAGCTTTCTGGTAAAGTGATTTTTATCTTTTACTAGAGGCCCAGTGTATAAATTTATGCATGGGTGGGGTCCTTTGTGAGGTGCCTCAGCCTAGCTGGCAATAGCGGGGAGGGGAGCTGCTGGCCTGGGGGGGAAACTAAGGGAGGTTGGCTGATCTGGGGGAGGGACTGTGGGAGAGGCCTGGCCAGTTGTAGGAGGTGGGCTGGCTGAGGGAGGTTGGCTGTGGGAGCACACTGACCACCAGGGGGCAGCTCCTGCAATGAGCGTCTGCCCCTGGTGGTCAGTGTGCATCATAGCAACCATTTGACTGGTTGTTTGGTCGCAAAGGCTTTTATATATACTAGAGGCCTAGTGCACGAATTCATGCATTAGTGGGGTCCCTTGGCTTGGCCTGCAGGATCTGCCAGTTTTGGCCCTCTGACATCTGGCCTAGGGGATATCCAGGGCTGAAACTGGCCCTCTGACATGCCCCAAAGGGTTCTGGATTGTGAGAGGGTGCAGGCCAGGCCAAGGGATCCCAGTGGTGCAGAATTGGGGCCGGGGAGCAATTTGGGAGGTTGGCAAGCCTGGGAGGGACCGTGTGAGGGCTCCAGGGCATGTCTGTCCAATCTCGCTCAGTCCTGATCAGCTGGACCCCAACAGCAAGCTAACCTACTGGTCGATTGTCTGCTTCCTGGTGGTCAATGCACATCATAGCGAGTGGTTGAGTGGCCTTAGCATATCATTAGTATATTATGCTTTGATTGGTTGAACGAACAGCCTGACGACTGGGCACTTAGCATATTAGGCTTTTATTATACATTCTAGTAGAGCTCAACATAGGATAACGATTTGATTACCTTTTCTTCTCAGTAGATTCATAACATAAGAAACCAAATTTATTTTTGTAATTTTACATCTGCTTATTATGCCAACTGTGTCATTCAATTC